AAGGGGAATAATTTTACCTGCTTGAAAGCATATTGCGAAGATTCGATGAATTACAAGCCTTAGAGTGGGGTCTGGAATACGCTGGGCACTAATGCTGGTTGTTGTACTTTTCTCACAGGTGGTACCATTATCCATCTTGTACTTGACTTTGTCCTGGCTGCTTCATAGTCCCTAGATGGCCTGTCTGCTCTCATGCTCTGGGCAGATGTTGTGGGCCTTTATCTCGGCTTGACAAACATCTTTTCAGTACTCTCTTCTACACTGAGCACATTTGGCTTTGAATGGTTCTTTGTATACATGACTCACTAGTTGCCAAAGAGTCTAAAAGGACATTGCATGCACTGTGAAGCTTACTGGAAACCGAGTGGGGATGGAACAAGCAGAGCCCAAATGTACACTGGAGAAACGGGGTCTCCGAGGAAGACTTCGTGCAGGAAGTGTGACCCTGACCTCCGGAAGACGTGTCAGTCACTGAACAAGACCAGCGTGGGCTGGTACCCATACGCCACTGGGTCCAGTCTAAAGGAAAGGTACACGGAATTCAGCGATGGAATAGAACTGCTTTGGCTGTCCAGTGCCCATGGTCCCCAACGCCCTTACAGGAATGCACGCGCATGTGCACATCTCAATCCTCTGTACTTGGAGGAGTTGATCCCTCACCCCTATTTTTAAGGGTGAGTCAAGGACCTATCCCTGCCCAATGAACTAGCCTCAGGTTAGGCACATGAATCAGGCCAAGACCATCAGGTCCGTTTAGAACTAAAGTCCTTGATGAACTGGAGACTTCCCTTTGTGAACTTCTTCCTGGCCATGGAGCCACACGGAGCATTAACAAGAGCAAAATACTGAAGATGAGCTCCCTAGGGCGTGGCATGAGCCTTGGACTTTGCTGGGGTTTTGTTTGGTTTGGAGTTGTGTTTTGTTTTAAATTATCTTGAGTTAGACTTCTAGGTATTTCGTCTTACCTGACACAGGCCTTCATCCAGTCAATACGTATGCTCGTCCCTGGAAATATGATGTAATTAAAACCTGTTTCTAGCCTCAGAGTTAGGCGTCTGCTCAAAGAGGTAAAGACTCAAGTTCTTAGGAGGTATGTACTTTCAGCATTGGGTAGCATAAGGTATAGTCCCACACAGGTGTAGCCCTGAAGAAGGGAGGACTGGGGCATTTTACTGTAATCCCAAACTACTAGTGCTGAACTCTGTATCCAAGCTGAAGATGCTTTTGTCTGGCCTTGTCCTTCCTCACACTGTCTTAACACCTAGCAAATATGATTTTTGCAGGGCCCAACTTCAGGCCCTCCCTTAAACCTAACCACATTTCACCACAAGAAGCACCAGTGTTTGCTCTGCTGTAATACTGTTATTAGGTTATTGCCCATTTATCTCTGCACTGCAGCCTTCAGCGTTGTATCTGCAGCATGGAATGTGCTAGCTGATACATTGCAATACCTTAAGTAAGTGTTTTAGTTAAAAGGAGCCATGAGCTAAAATATTCTCACATACTGCTTTATGTTTCCCCCCAGCAAAAGGAGTTAGGTACATGTTTATTTGGGATACATTGCTGAAAAGCTTAAAATAATGGCAGTGGAAAGCAGATATGGTACAATGTTGAGCTCTTACTACTGTGGACAGCTGATGCTCTAGTCTATCTCTAACATGTTTGAGATAGACAGTACACCCAATGTCTGAGGCCAGATGTGACACTGATAACTTCTTGACCTTTCAGTGAAAGACTTACCCTGGAGATATTAAGTACAAGCATAACATTCTGCACAAAGCCAAGACATGTGGTGGGTGCCTCAGGTAGGATGCCAGCGTGTATGAAAAGTGTCTACTTGCATCTAAGATCAGACGAACTGTGAGGATGGAGTGTGGGTCACCAATAGTATTCAGTACAGATATCCTGGAAGTGACACAGACATTTCAACAACAATCCCACCACATGAAACATCCATGCTACCCAGAAGGTATAGAACCTGCTCCTTTACAGAGCAGGGAAATGCCTGAAGTGCACACTGAAGGCCCAGGGGTCCGCAAAGTTTTCCTATGAGCCTGAAGACCTGAGAAGCACAAGAGCAGCAGGTTGCTTCCCATCCACAGTCCAATAGGCTGGCTGGAGACATAGAAAGAGCCGATGTTTCTGCTCTGCACAAAGGGAGGTAGGATTAATTGATGCCCTTTCAAAGGAAATCTGGCACTAGGGAAATGTCCAGATACCTACAAGGATGACCCCAACTAACAATCTAAACATAGTGGAGAGACTACCTTAAATGCCCTTCCCAGATAATGAGATGACTACCTTATATGCCATCCTAGAGTCTTCATCAGTAGCTGATGGGAGCAGAAGCAGACACCCACAGCTAAACACTGAGCCAAACTCCTGGAATCCAGTTGCAGAGAGGGGGGAGTAATAAGTAAAGGGGTCAAGACCAGGCTGGGGAAACTCACAAAAACAGTTGACCTAAACAAGGGGGAAGCTCATAGACCCCAGTCTGATAGCTAGGAAACCAGCATAGGACCAACCCAGACACCCTAAACATGGGTGTCAGTTAGGAGGACTGGGCAGTCTATGGGACCTCTGGTAGTGGATCAGTATTTATCCCTGTTATTAGGAATGGACTTTGGGAACCCCATTCCACATGGGGGGGAGGGGTTAGGCCCTGCTCCAAATGATATGACATGGAAGGCCTCACTCTCCCTGATAGGGGTTGGTAGGGGTAACGGGAGGACAGGAGGGTGCAGGAACTGACATTGATATGTAAAACAAGCTTGTTTCCAATTGAGGTATAAAAAACAAACAAACAAACAAAAAACAAAAACACAAAAAACAAAGGTATTTAGACGTGAGATCTCGCTTATCTAGACTGTCCTGTTGCTCTACCCAGACCTCCCACAGTGGATGAACCCTAACTACATCAAGAAGGCAACTTGTTTTCATTAATATTATGTGTCAGATTCATCCCAAAGCACACAGTGACAAAAACATCCACAAGGACATTTGGTCAATATCTGGGAACCCTGGATCCCAGTCAAGATGGCACATAAAATTAATTATCACATATGGAGTTTGGCAACCCAACAAAAACGAAAAATGAAACATTTTTGAGACAATTGGCAAATTCTAATTGCTGACTAAATATTAAGCAATATTAAGAATGATTTACTGGTGGTTCTTCAAAAGGGGGGAAAAAGACAACTAAAAATAGAACTGCCATATGATCCAGCTATACTGCTTCTGAGTGTGTAGCCCAAAGATTCTAAGTCAGTATACAATAGAGATATTAGCACATCCCTGTCATAATCTAACTGCTCACTGGCCTTAGTGTATTGCATTCTATCTTATTGTTTTCTATACCCACAGTTTTTTTTTAAATAGACCCTCCTAAAATTGTCTTACTTTGAATACATCTTCTGTTTCCTGTTGCTATCTTGATTTACATGCTGCAAAGAACTGTGAGTATGCATACAAAGGGATATCCTTTCTTCTCTGAATATACTTACTGGATTATTTATGAATGAGAGAAGACCTGACATCTACTTGAAAAACAATCCAAGGAACTTAAATTAATAGTTACAACTAGGTGACAGAAACATGGGTGTTCATTAAGTAGTTCTAAGTTGAAAAAAGACCCCCAAGTAAGTATGATGCAAGAGAGAAAAAGACGCTTTATTGGCTTGAGAAGAAAGAAAGACAGTGAGTGTAACCAGGCTAAGACAGATGCAGACAAAGACTAAGGAAATAAAAGCCAGTAGAGGAAATGCAGGACAAGGGTCGGTTTGCCAATGCTGACATCTTCCTCTCTTAATCTACTGGCATAAGGACTAAGACTTGCTGGGTGTTTTTTGGATCAGAACAAATCTGAACCAGGGTTATTTAGGAAGCAGGGCAGATCTGAGATAAAGAGATGACATGGAGAAAGGACAGTTGATGAATTTCATGAAGATAAAGTCACAGAAAGGTTTTAGCAAGGGAAGATCTTATGGGAGGACTTAAAGGAGGGAGAAAAATGTGAAAATATCTGGGAAACACTTTTGACACACTTGAAGAGACATGTAGCTTTTATCCTATAACTTGAGAGGGATGAAGATGGAAAATCACATTGAATGTTAGAGAGGAAGATTGAGGGCACTCATTCATAAAATGTTTCTTATCTCCCTGAATGTATAAAGCCAGGGCATTGCTATAGAATGACATAAGACTAGTGTCTAGGCAATTACACTGTTTCATTGTCTCAATATAATGATGTGAGCCAGAGAGATGGCTCTGCAGGCAAAGGTGATTGCCACCGAGCCTGATGATCGAACTTCAATCCCCAGAACTCACTTGATGGATAAAGAGAAATCACACACACACACACACACACACACACACACACACACACACATAGATAGATATACACACACATATACATACATAGCCAATATATGGTTTCTCTCATTGTATGACCAAAGCTGACTATCTCCTTTGGCATATCAAGGGTCAACTATCTCATTACATCTATATATCCCACCCAATGATGAAAGGGAAGGATGAATACAGCAGGGACGGGAATCTTTGAGGACATTAGCCACAACCAAGCAAGGGTGAGAATGGTAGCTAGAAAGGAGCATTGCTGGTACAGCCTCTGAACCTTGATGAAGGCCTGCAATGAGCAATTGATGGCCATACTGAAAACTTAGCAGGTGGCAACCAGTCAAATAAGGAAGGTACTAAAGCCATATCCCTCCTGAGAGGTTTTCAGCAGGCAACTGGAAGTCAGAAAAGGTGAGGTTTGGGTTTTGGTTCAACCATGATCCTGGTTTTGAGCAATGCACAAACTTTCTGCATGCCATCCCTTAGCCAGAAGACAAAGGTCATCACACCTGGTGACTGTAAACGTAAAGAAAAATGTGCTGATATTGGTATCCTGTGACAGCAGAACAAATAAAGAACTGTGAAATGCTCTTTTTACTTACTTAAGTTTTTTTTTTTAACTTAAACAGTCTTTAATGAAATCTGTGTATGAGACACCCCTACTCCTGCATCTTCTCAATCATTTCTTCCTTGTATTTGCCCTTCTCCTTTCCTACTTGTCGAGACTTGGCTTTCCTTTCCAGGATCTTCTTGTGGTCTTTGTCCAGCTTTAGCCAGGTGATAACCATCTTGCTGGGGTGGATGCCCACATGGACAGTTGTGCCATTAGCATTTTCTCGCTGTACTCGTTCAATGTAGATGACATATTTCTTCCTGTACACCTGGACCACTTTGCCAATCTGCTGACCTTTGTAGTGTCCTCGGACAACCTGAACTTCATCATCCTTTCGAATGGGCATAGATCGAACATTGTACTTCTGTCTCAGCTCTTTGGAAAGAGGGGACAGACTTTAAAGATTGGTAAAAACTTCATTTTAGCCTGAGGGCTCTTGCTTTTAATCCCAGCTGCTCAGGAGGCAGGAGGATTGAAAGTTCAAGACCAGCCTAGGCTACAGAGCAACCTCAAGGCCATCCTGTCCAATTTGGTGAAACATTGTCTCAAAATAAATACAGCAGGGCTGGAGATGCAGCGCAGTGGTAAAAAGGCTTACCTAGAGTTCAAGAGGCACTGGGTTCAACCTCAGTCCTGAAAAGAAAATTTTTAAAAGTTCATTTTTATTTGGTCTGTTTTTTTAAAAGACCCTTGTAATGTATTTTTCATAATGTTTTACATCTTTATTTATTTGTTGAAGCTAGAGACAACCCGGAGAAGTCCGTTCTCTCCTTCCACCAAAGGGGGCTCTGGGGATCAAACTCAGGTCATCAGCCTTGGCAGCAATGCCATTACCCAGAGCCATCTCACTGGCTCCTGAGTCGTTTAAAGTGCCAGGGCTTGTGCTAGGGACTGGTAATAAGATTAAGAAAATAATTCTTGCTACTCAAAGAGTAACCACGGATAGCACGAGATAGAGACGGTGGCGGGGGATGGGAAATGCTCTGATAGACGACATATGCACAGAATACTTTGAAAACACAAGCAACCGAGAGATGCTGACCTACAGCCTGAAGGACCACTAAAAACCAGCCCAGTTTGGTAAACTACTCAAGGTAGAGAAGGTGTCATCTGGGCTAAGCAAACAGCTTATTGGGATGCACTGGAATGCATGGGCTTGGCTTATACTGTGAAGCTGCAAATGGTTCCATGTACTTGGACCTTAAGAGCAGAAGTAGGGAGTGACTAGAAGTGAGGCTGAGTGGTAAAGCAGAGGCCAGCATATGAAGGGTTTGGTCTGTCACGCTGAGGAGTGTGAAGTACACACTGTAGCTCCCTACAGTGGGTAACTAGGACTAACACAATCACAGCTGAGCTTGAACACGAATGTCCTGGTTTTAATGGAGGAAATAAGTTGGATATATTTCAGGGAAGTTTGTTCGAAGCCGGAAGCGTAATTTAAAAAACCATTGCTCACCCAGCAGTGGCGGCGCATGCCTGTAATTTCAGCACTGAGGAAGCAGAGGCAGGCGGATCTCTACAAAGGGAGTTCCAGGACAGCAGGACTGTTATACAGAGAAACCCTATCTCAAATTCCATCCCCTCAAAAAGAAAAAAAAGAAAGAAAGGAAAGAGAGAGAGAGAGAAAGGAAGGAAGAAAGAAAGGCAATGGCTCTAATCCCAGAGTATTAGTCTGGGATTGGTAACTTGTAACAGAAGCCCCAGGGAACAGTGGTTTGTATGAGATAAAAGTTCATCCCTCAATTGATAATCTGTGAATTAGTGGTCTAGGGTTCCTTCAAGGTCACCAACTCAGGTGTGTCCTTCAGCTGCACATTCTAAGATGGATTTCCTCATCACAGTGTGCGCATTAACAGGGAAGGAAAGACATTTTGAGTTTATGACTGGGATCATGTCTCATTAGTCAGAACTCAGTCAGTCAATCATTGCTTAGCTGTAAGGATAGCTAGGGGAAACGATAGCAGCACACCCAGTTCAAAACCATGATCTGGATTTTCTGCATGACTACTTGTCTGGTCCCTGTCTGGTTCCGCAGCCATTTAGTACCAAATAAACACACGGAGGCTTATATTAATTATAAACTGTTTAGCCAATGGCTCAGGCTTCTTATTGGCCAGCTCTCTCTTAATTATTAGCCCATTTCTATTCATCTATGTATCTCCACGTGGTCTTGGCTTACCAGAGAATGCCTGAGCATCCTACCTTCCCGGTAGCTACATGGTGTCTCCCTGACTCCTCACTCTCTGCGTTCCTCTTCCCAGAATTCTCCTAGTCTGGTATCCCCACCTATACTTTCTGCCTGGCTACATCCTGCCATTGGCTGAGACAGCTTTATTCATCAACCAATAAGAGAAACATATATTCACAGCACACAGAAGGACCTCCCTCATCAACTACTAGCAGTTTTTATTATGCTAGGAAAAGAAAAGGGCCTGACTGATGTAGTGGTGTGAAAGTGAAAAGCCAAGCATTAGTTTCAGGGTGAGTTGCTGGGCTGACAAGAGCTTGGATGGGGAGAGGGCAGAACGATGCCACAGATGACACTCTGGTTCCTGATTGTAGCACCGAGCTAGATGATAGTAACAGCAACATCTACCTAGCGTTATGGTTTGGAAGTGATTTGGTGGTCACCAAGGGTCCGTGTGACTAAAGATTTTTGTCCCCAAGGTGACAGTATTAGGAGGTTCAGTGGTACTCTGAAGAGATGGAGAGGTCCTGATGTCACTGAGGGCATGGAGTCTTTCTCCTACAAACCTTGAGTTCTTTACAACATGATTGCTACAAGGCTGGGAACGTAGGTCATGTGGAGAGTACCATCTTGTGATGGCAAAGCCCTGAGTTTGATCCCGATACCAAAAGTATTTTTAAAAGGGGGAGAATAGACAGAAATACAGAAAAGAGAAAAGAGGCAGGGGCTAGCACGATAACTCAGTGAGTAAAGGCGTATGCTGCCATGCCTGACCTGAGTTCAACCCCTAGGACCCACAAGGTGGAAGGAAAGAATGGACACACACAGGAGATAATGGACCTCCACACTGGTACCCTGGCATGTGCATACATATACACAGAGAAACACACAAATAAATAAATTGAAAAATTAAAGAAAAAAAAAAGGAGCCAACTATGGTGGTGCACAGTTGTAATACTTCCACTCAGAAAGCTGAAGCAGAAGGATCTCATGTTGGAGGCTAGCCTGGGCTACATAGCAGAACCATGTCTCAAAATCAAGAGAGGAGTAAGTATGACCCCACCTAGCCCTCTCTGCTCTCTGACTGAGATGCAATCTTGTTTCCACCACTGTGTCCCAATGTAAGGTGATAGCCAATGTAAGGTGTGGCCCTTGCCACAAAGACTTTGCAATGTTGATTGTACTCAGCCTCCAGAAAAGAGAGACACCATTCCCCTTACAGCCTGTGTGCAAGATTTCTTGCAGGTAACAAAAACTCCTAGTATTACTAAGTGAAAACAAATAGAGGGAGATGGGATCTAGGGAGGAAGTGGCTGGAGTACATGCTTCAGTTTTGCTCCAGGCTGGAAATGTATGGAGGACATTCAGACAGAAATAATCCAGTGGGCTGAGTTTAGAATCCTCGGCTTTTCAGGGAACTTCAAAGTATGACAGCAGATGTTATTTGAGGTCTGAGAGACGACAGAAACTATCAACCATGAAAAAGAAGAAAAAGATGAGGAAAGAAATCAAAGTTTCAAAGTCACACGTGGAAAAGGGATGATGAGGAAGACGGGGAGGGGGGGAGGACAAAGGAAGTAGGAGAGGCTGGGAATGAGCTAAGGGTGGAGGTGGAGTCAAGGGATAGCAGCTTTTCAGGGGGGAAATGAGATGAGTTGGCACCGTGGAAGATACTTCCAAGGACAAGGACATACCATTAAAAGTCCAAATTCTCCAGTCATTAAAGGAAGGGTGTGAGTATTAGTTTTCATTCTGTGGGGCAGCTCACCCAGTTAAAAAAAATCAGTCTCTGTTACCAGAGACAACGAGGAAGAAGGAAGTGACAGACTTCCCAGACTGTGGGAATGAGTGTCCCCTTCCGTTGTCTGGCACAGAATAAGCTAAAGTTTATCACTTTCTGTTTTCTGCATTAGGTTTTGTTGGTTGGCTTTTGTTTTTGTGGGTCGTGGTTGCTGTGGTTTGAGCTAGGTCTCACTATGTAACCCTGACTGGCCTGGAAATCACAGGGGTTCACTTGTCTCTGTCTCCTGGGTGCTGGGATTAAAGATAGGCGCTACCATTAGTATTTCAATCCATTTGATAACGACCTGATCACTCATTTTTAGCCATTTCTCCTGCTTTTCATCCTCATTTTTTCTGTCAAGCTTAGCCCAGTTTAGACCTAAGTGTGTGTGTGGGGGGGGGACTTTATTCAGAGCACTGTGAGCTGCCTACGTCCCGTGGGTACAGTCAAGTCAGCAGAGATCAATCTCAGACTGACCCTCATAATCAGATCAACTACTGCTCTTCCAGATCAGCAGAGCAGATTCCAGTGTGTCAAAAGTGTTCTCTTCTGTGTCCTGGTTCTTGCTGCATTTAGACACAGCTTTTCTGGGGATCTTCACACAGTATATACATTTTAAAAGACATTATACTCTACAAGAAGTATTTACAGCATAAGTGCTAGGCAAACATAACTGTTAAGAACTTGGGGTTCAGAGCTGAGAAACTGTTACATGGGGTTTTCATCTAACTTCACAAAACTTTATTTTCTTGATATAGAGAATGATAACCACACCAATGACCAATGCAAGAGGTCTCAGTCTCATGAAGTTACTATAACATCCAATGGTGTTCTGATGTGTTTACCACAACACCCAATGCAGACATTTTTATTACTGTTCAGTCAGCGGACTCCCCAGTTTTTTCCTTCCTTCCTCCCTCCTTTCTTCTTTCCTTCCTTTTTTTAATTCCAGACAGGGTCTCATGTAGTCCAGGGTGGCTTCAAATCCACATGTGGCTGAGAGGATGACTTTGAATCAGTTTCTGATCTTCTGCCACCACTTCCTGAATGCTGGGGTTACAGGCAGGTACCATCATGCCCAGTTTATGCTGTGCTGAGAATCAAACACAGGGCTCTGTGCATCCTAGGCAAGTACTTTACCTACTGAGCCACATCCCAGCCCTTCCCATTCTTATTCTGGTGCTTTTACGGTTGGAGTTCATTGTTCTGTTGGCTAACTCTCAAATAACTAAAGAAAAGACGTGTCCTAAGTATGCTACAAGATACAGCCAAATTTCAAACAGGGCATAAATGGTCCTTTGTCGTGCAGGCAATGCAACCACCGTGAGAGGTACTGTGGATTTTTAAGAAAAAGTTCTTTTGACAGATCCTCAGGTCAATGAGGCCTGGGGATGGGATTGTGGACTCCTTCCTTCTTC